CGTGAAATTTGCAGATGACACCAGGGTGGTGGTCCTCATCAGAGATGACAACAACCAGGACTACAGAGAGGAGGTGGAGCAGCTGGTGACAATCATCAACTTTAACAACTCATCAACAGCTCAGATGTAGAGGCGGTCAGCAGCACCAAATTCCTGGATATCACAGACAACCTTGAAAAGCTCTGAACTTCCACATCAATGTGTTTTTGCACATTGATATAACAAACTTTATTGTCCGTTTGTAAACAGAGAGTGTATACAAAAGGAAATTCATTTTTGTACAGTTCTCATGACATTTCCATTTTTCAGAGTTCAGCAGTGATAAAATGTAAACATTGTTGGAGAAAAAAACATAATGGAAAACAAAAACGCATTGATATGGTCAGTTTGATGCAGAGTTTGTGACATGAAGAGTGGCTGAATGTCAATTAGACTTCACCAGCAGACTAAGAGCCAAACTGAGAGCCTCGTCTTTGAACCACTGCACCAGTTTTGTGCAGAATTTGTTTTTTCTTTGCAATCATAACACAGCTCTTGCAAGGAGAGCAGAGATTTTTTATGTTCTATGTTTTGTGTAACATCTAACAGATATCTTCCTTGTTGTCTATGTGTTTTTGACCAAATTAACATCACTTCAATCTAAATCTGCCATCTTATAAAGATGCACTGAAGATGGTGGAGAGTAATTAAATTATAGATGGTGAGGCAGAAGAGTCGGTTTCTCCAAATGTCCACAATGTAGGTTTACAAATATAACAGCTTTCCACGTCCCTTTTATTTTATTTATGTTTAGAAGTTATTTTTGTTACTAGGCCAAAAACTCTGTCACTCTCCTAGTTTACATTGCATACTATATACTAGTGTTGCACCGATACCAGTATCGGACGGGGCCCCGATACTGGCCTAAAATGGTGGTATCGGTATCGGCGAGTACCAACAAATCAAGCACAGATACCATTTTGAGAGCCATTAGTTTTTTCAACTATTGTCATCCACTCCTGGTAGGCAATAAAAAGTTCTACTGGATTCACTTTGTATTAGATATTTTCCTGATTCCCAAAGGTAGGCAGCAGCTTGACAAAGCCATGATGGCAATTATTTTACATTATTATGGCAGCGGTATCGGCCGATACTGCACAGCCAGGTATCGGTTATCGGTATCGGGGCCAAAAAATGGCATCGGCGCAACACTACTATATACTGGATGCTGATTATCCTGTTGACCAAATTAGATTAAAAGCTTTAGCTAATGTGATGATAGCTTTAGGCTATCAGTTTATGTGTACGTTTATAAGCCTATATTATTTCACTAAAATGTCAACCCAGCAGTTTACATGGCCAGAAACTCCCAGGTAAGTTTTTTCTCTAAAGTCCAAACCAGAGTAACTATTCACCACAAATATAACTGTCCTATGCTTTATGTTCTGATGGGACATTGTTAAAAAAGATGATGTGAATTATTCCAAATTCTAAAAGGAAAGCACAACAATTTAGAGCAAATTACCAATTTTGTTTGTTTTGTTTGCTGCAATTTCTTTTATAGGATTTGGTAGTTTTGATTTAAAAAGAAAATAACTTAGAAGACCATCTCTATTTACCTATTAAAAGGATACGTAGGCCTACATCTGAAAAGATTAGAATATATAAAAAAAAGTCATTTTATTTCTGTATTTTGATTTTATATTTCACTTTTTTATGTTTATTTCTATTAAATTTTGATTATTAGGGAGACATAATTTTTAACAAATAAATTCTGTTTCTTGCTTTTTAGTTTTTAATAAAGAAATATTCTGTAGGTAAAACATCTATCAATACATTGTACATTATGTGCATTAAATACTTGATTGGGATGATGAGGGGATTCGATGGATTACTTGATACTTTTGCATCTTTTGCATCAGAATAAAGGAACCGGGGCTGAATTAGTAAAGCCCTTATGACTTTAGGGATCTACTGGCCCCTCAAGCTCATACACCTTGGTCTTAAAACTAGGTATTGGTAACTCTGGCACTGTCAGCAGGTTCCAAGCTCTGCTGGGAAAAGAAATGAGCATTTTTATAGAACTTCACAGCAAAAAGAAGTAGAACATGCTCTAAAATGTCCCAAAGGCAGGTTCTGAGACACAGTTGACCAGCAGATAACATTATTCCTCAAATCATCACTGACTGTGGAACTTAGTGCTGGATTTAAGGAGATAACGATAATGTGCCTTTACATTCTTCTATCAGTCCCAGGACCTTTGATTCCAGAATTCAACTCAAAATTACGGGTGAACAAATTGAATGGTTTAAACTGGGTGATCGATGATATGCCAATGCTTGCATATGAAACCAATCTTATTTTATTTCACAAAAGGTCTAAAAACCATCTACTGTCAAAGCTCAAAAATATATTTGACTACATCTTGTGCGGTTAAAATAAGTGTTTATTGTTTCATAAGTATCATTCAATATTTTACAATAAAATATTGAACATTTTTAAAACTTTAACCTGTGATTAGCCAGAAAACTGCAATCAATGCACCTACTAATATGATGAATGCACCAGCTGCAGAGCCCATTTTCCCAGATATGTCTGTTTATGACCGCTCTAGAAGCTGCGACTCCTGCTGCAGTTCATTCCTCACATTTCCTTCCCAAAACTAAATTGACTTTCTTTTAAAATTTTCTCAAAGTTGCAGCTCTTGATGCTTTCATCACACTGTTTTCATCCACTCAACCTACAAGTCATATTAGTTTGCATATGTAAATTACTGACTGTTGGCAAACTCTGTCACCAGCGTTCCTTATAAATTTTAACTAAATATAGTAGCATGAAATGTCCAACATAAAACTGTGATGCAAATCTGTCCTTAAAATCTACTTAAGTGAGGTTCATATTTTCAAACACCACTTTCAGTATTCCCTCACCAGTCTCTCAGAATACTTTTTTTTATTGGGTCTAACTATAAAGGAATCAGGTTTCCAATAGGTTGCTGGAGGTTGTTTAGATCAATGTCAAAAACAATTATTACCTAAATCAGTCTAACCCATACCGATGATTTTTTGATTTTTTGAGGTCGATTCTTGAAGTTAATGTTTCTATTTCTTCATTGACGTGATAAAAAATGACACTTCAATAAATGTTAAAGAGGTCTCAATTAAGACAAAAAGAAACATGTACTATCAAATCGAAGCACGTTAAACATAGATGGCCAATAGAAGGAGCAGCAATGCAGTTGCTTTACATGATCTCCAGGCATGGATGCTGAATGCACACAGAATCGGCAAACACACTGACCTATATATCAAAATTTAAAAATTATGAAAGTATTGGGCCGGCTTATCAGTCAGCCGACAAATCGGTCACTCTCTAGTTTCACTGCTTCCTTTTCAGCTCTGCCTATTCATTTTCATTGGGACTAGGATCCAGGTTGTACAGGGGTTAATGGAAAGCTTTGAATTTGTTCTCCTTCAACCAGTTTGTGACTCATTTAGCATCAGAACCAAAGTCTTGAAAAACCTATGTCTCCATTTTCAACCTCCTGGTTGATTTCTTGAGATATTTCTTAATTGTTTTCATATAATGTTTCCTTCCACCTAAGGCGATCTATTTTCTAAAGTTTGCAAGTCCCTTCAGGACAAAAACACCCCCATAAAATCATGCTGCCACCACTGTACTTCACAGTAAGTTATGTTGATATCAGGGTTGTAAGCTTCATCCTTTTTCTCTATTTACATTTAAGATCATCAGGCATTGCTTCAATCAAGGTCTGACTGCATTGGCAAGTTGTAGGGAAAAAATGCAATGCATTTAGAACACCATCATCTTTGCAGAGCTGCATTTCAGCCCACGTGGAAAAGGACTCAAGGATAATGACTAACTTCAGCTAGCACCTTCACAAATCCCTTTGTTCTTGTTTTTGGGGTGAAAGGCACATCTTGCACAAAACACCTTTAGATGGATGAAATAGATGCAAATATTGTAATGTATCAATCATATGCTTACAAAGCCCTGACTGCATGGCAGAGTAATCATAGTTTTATGTAAATAAAATATATGTCTTACCCTATGCTGGAATTTACTTAAATTAACATTTTTGGTTTCAAATGGATATGAAACAGAACAACTTTAGTTTGAATCTTTATGTTGAATCTGATATCCTTACTGCAGAGAAGTACATGCTATGGGAAATATTAGTTTTGCGTATTAAAAAATAAAAGAAGCCTCAGCGCTGATACCAGATCAGATGAAAACTGATTCATATTCCAGCCTTCTAACTACATCTTTAACACTTTTTTCAGACTCAACAGGTCTTAGATTTGAAGACTAAAAGTTGATCTCTGCAGTGCCAAATCTCTAAAGTTGTGACATTTCCTGATAAAGCTTTTCTAAAAAAAAAACAAAAAAAAAACAGGCGTGAGTTAATTGAATATAGACATATTTAACTTTAATCTGCCGCCCTTTCTTTTTATTACCATAAGTGCTCTTGATCTCTAACTCTTTAATGCAAGTGAAAAGTAAAAGAATTAATTAGTTCAAGTTAAGATTTTTGCATGAATAAACAAACAAGACTTTCAGCTCATCTGAACCACAGAGGTTGCTGCAAAATTCATCAAGTTTTCATTACTTGGACGCAACAATGAAGCCGTAAAACAAGCTTTGGTTATAAACCTCCAGCGCCTGCTTGTTCACTGGCTGTTTAACTAGTTTTTATGACAGCTGGGTAACACAGCCAGCGATAAATTTAGAAACACACACCCTGCGGATAAAGATGCGGGGATTGGTTTTACGCACATCCAGTTCGCTGGATTAGCACAAAGGGCTTTACTTTAGCGGTTTGTTGGAAAGTTTGAAGTTTTTCTTAAGTGAAATAAAACTTAAACTAAACAAAGAGAGCGAGGAGGGGGGTGGGAGAGTAGACTTCCTGGGTAAAGATAGCGGATTGTGTGTGAGAAGAGGAAGGCAGACTGACATCACACTCACTCACTCACATGTAGAGAGCCAGAAAACACACTCACCGCTGGCTGACTGAGACACGGCAGACACAGCTGTCTGACCCATATTATCCAGCTCCAGATGCGGGCCGGACCGGGTCTTCCCGCACCCGCGATCACGGCTTCCTATCCCCGCATAAGCTGCGTTGGTAGCCGCCGAAGCGCGTTCATGTCAATAGAAGAAGTTGATGGTCGAGGCGCAGGAAACTTTGCGCACACACAGACTGAGCGGCTCTCTACGTAATGATTCCCCTCCCACCTCGTCCTCCTGTGAGCGGCTGCAAAATGCCTCTCATTCCGTTATGCAGATTAGAGAGGCTGTCACCAGAGGCGTAGCCAGAAAATCCTAATAGGGGTGGCCAAAAGACACCAGTACAGAAGAGGGTTAGGGCCACTGGAAAAAAAAAAAAAAGTTAACTGATTGTTTTTATTTTATTTCAGTTTAATATGGGAAAAAGTCAGAATTCTGACTTCTTTATTGTTAGAATTCAGTCAGAATTATGAGAAAAAAGTCAGAATTCTGAGATTAAAGTCAGAATTCTGAGATTAAAGTCAGAATTCTGAGAAAAAATTCAGAATTCTGAGATTAAAGTCAGAATTCTGATAAAATAAAGTCAGAATTTGAAACTGAAGTCAGAATTCTGAGAAAAAAGTCAGAATTCTGAGATTAAAGTCAGAATTCTGAGAAAAAAAAGTCAGAATTCTGAGATTAAAGTCAAAATTCTGAAATTAAAGTCAGAATTCTAAAAAAAAAGTCAGAATTCTGAGAAAAAAAGTCAGAATTCTGACTTTTTTCCCATACTAAACTGAAATAAAATTTAAGTCAGTTAACTTTTTTTTTTTTTTTTCCAGTGGCCCTAACCCTCTTCCGTACACTAGAAAGCTCAGGGTCAATCTACACTGTTCTAACAGGAACCAACACAGCATCCTGCACCAGACTTAGTTTAGAGAACTGATTCACCCCAAAAATTTGCATTCACACATTATACTTGTTCACCCCAACGTTAAACCCAGAGCTGCACTTTACCCCTGAATTCACCTAATTAATTACTGGAGTCCAGCTTTGTCTTATCATCTCTTAAATGCAGGTGTTCTGTCAAAGCCTTTGTGACCCAGCAGCATCATAACGACCAAGGAAGAGCGCAGACATAAAAATGTGGGGAGATTTCTAAAAGTTTGAGTTTTTAATTACCGATAACCAGAATGTTAACTGATCAACCAATCAGACTAAAATTTAAGGTGTATGACAAACCTTTAAACTTGATATATCTACCTAAACCTGGGGTCGGCAGTGGCCTGTGGATGTTTTGACCTTCTAGGGTGGCTCCTAATGGTTTTTGGTTTAATAGTTATGGTTAAAATTGAACAAATAAAGTTTTTGAATACGGTAAATTAAAAAAAAAATCAACATTTTTTTTCAATGAATTACTAAATTTATGCTCCCCAACTAACTAAAATCAAAAGGATCAGTAGCATTTTTTTTTTTAGATCCATGTTCATTTTTTTGGGGAATTGAATGGATGTAAGTGCATTTTTGTTATACCGGTACATTATTTTCGACATAAATCAACATCCCTTAGAAGCAAATGTACCCATCCTCTTTTTTTGCAAAAAATAAAATAAAAAATTGCTTTGCTTAATTTTAAAACTTAAAAGCACAACAACAACATTCCTATAGTAAATATTTATCAAAAAAACAGTTATTCTTTTTCCATAGATCAATTAACATTTGGGATGTTGAAAAAGTGTCTGTTTTTTTAGGTGGACAGAGGCAAAAAAAATGTAAACTTAGATTTCGAATATTGATGACCCCTGTCAAAGACAAACAGAATAAGAATGATTATTAGTTAGCGAAGCAGCAAGGACTTAAACCATGAAGGTACTGCAGAGATCCAGAGCTCAGGTTGGAATATGTTTTAAGAAGTCTGGTCTTTATAGAATAGTTACAAAGAGAAAGTCATAGTTAAAAGACAGCAAATGTAAGTTTGCAATTTGGCACAAGTCATGAAGGGAACACAGTAAACATTTGAAAGAAGGTGCTCATTACTATTTCTTTGGCTTCACGGGGAAGCTAGAGGGCCTTTATAGGAAGATGTATCAACTTAAATACAGGTTATTCCTGGACAAAAAGCAAACTTAGATAATGTAAAAGACTTTCAGATTTGAAGGATGTGATATTACCAAAACTGATAAAACTTCAAACTACATTTGGAGGGCTCTGTATTTAAAATGTATCTGAAAATGTATAATGTTTGCATATCCCTTATAAGGTAACTTAGGGCAAGGATGCATGTTAATGATTAAGGAACTTATCTAAAGCTGATTGATCTCATTAAACTAAATATTAATTGAAAATAGGTCCTAAAATTTCTCTAATATCAACAGGATCTTTTTATAACATAAGGGGCTAAATCATTTTTTACAATAAGCTGAATTGAAAAAAAAATGTTACAGCATTATCTTTTAACAATTTATGGTGCTAGTTGTATTAAATACCAACAGAATTAACAAAAACAAGTTTTCTCGCACATTAATTAACTTATTTATAAAATATAACAAAACAAGTACCTGTTAGGTTACTTAATAAAATAATGCATCGTGATTGTATAGAGATGTAAAACTATTATTTAAAAAAAGGGTATGTCGCTAGGACATGCTGTCAGAATTTTTGCCACTTTGTTTCAATGACATAAACAGTAACTGTGATATAACTCTCTGTATTTAGTGTAATCCAGTGTTCAGTGCTGGGAGAGACCATGTGCTGCTAGCAGTGCTGTTAAACTAAATGTTCTGGTTGCTCTCAGAAGCATTTTAAAACTTGGCTCTATGGAATGCATTAACTTACAAAAGCCCTCCCTCCTCTACCAAGCTTGTAAAGCATGTATTTTTCAATCATATTACAAACATTTTGTAATGCCCTCCACTTTTCCATAATCACATCCCCACCTTCGAGCACATCAGAGAAGTTACGTTGCTCCGCCATGCAGCCCTGCTAAATGGGCACTATTTAGGTGATAAAAGAGTTTATTGAGTGTTTATATTTACAAGAAGAACAGCATAAAGTGCATTCTGCATCCTTGTCTCTATTAAACAGTGTAACTAATCCTAGACCGGAATCTGGATCGATTCAGGCTTCTGCTATAGCGAGCCTCTGCTCTGGCTTTACGTCTCTTGCAAATACCAGAGAGGTTCAGCTACAGGATAAACAGCACTGTCCTCTGATGGACGGCGGTAACATTACAAAAAAGGGGCCTTTTAAGTGAGTGTTATCCATTAATAGGATGAAACGCATTTTAATCTAATAATTTAAAAGCCAATTATTTGTTTACATCCCTACTAAGAGAAAGTCATATTATCAGTTTACCTTCTGTCAATAATGTGATGACTGCACAGATCCATGCATAAAGTTCCAAAACACACCATAAGACCATAAAGCTACTTTTCAGTAAACTTCAGAGCTTAAGAACTGTAACAGTAATTTCTTAAGCTTTAGGAAGATTTTTTTTTTTTTTGTGGCCAATTTTGACTTGATTTAACCTCACGTTTCATTTAGTAGTGACTAAAAATGTAATCGCTGACACTGGGAAGACCTGAACCCTGGTCTGGAAGCTGCTCGGTAAAATTAGATGTTACAAAAATAAAATCATGGCCCACATATTAAAGGATCAGTTTTACATTTGCAAAACATATTCAGTTAAAAAAAACAGTTGTTTACACACACTGTGTAGAAGGATGCTTTTTTTACTCACTGACATTAGATAAGACTAAAAATGTCCTTGTTTAGGTCAGTTAGGATTTCCTACAATATTCTTAATCACTGAATTACAGATTTTTTCTTTTCTTTAAGAAATCAAGTTGTGCTAAGTCTCCTTCTTTTTCTTTTGTTATTAATGCCTTCTAAACCATTTCATTTTATTTTAACAATGCCCTTTAATTCTAAACTTTTTATTTTATTTTAATTTCATTGCACCATTTCCAAGATTGAATGTCTTGCATTTACAAATTGGATACAGATTCAGCCAGTATCTTCAGTAGGTCTTGTGCTTTTGTGTTGCGGTGGATTAACACAGTTTGCACCAGAGCTAGTTCATTACTGGGACATCAAAATTATCCCTACTCTGTTGGATGGCTTGACATTCCCATGGTGATTAAGCTCACATATAAATGCCCCAACATATGACACTTTTAGGCATCCTAAAACTAGCTACCGGACTTGTGGAAATCCAAATTTTTTTGCATGCTACCTTGGCTGTTTGCTTTGATTTTATTATAATGTCACACATGAGAACAGTGTTCTTGATGTGTGTCTTAAAAATACCTTTACAGGCCTTACAACCTCCATATGGCGTTCTCATTTGTGCTTTCCCATGTTGTTTAACATCAGTTATTTTAAAGGCAAGTCATAAACCAGAAACTTATAGACAGTTATCTTTTATCCTGGCATTAGGTTAATAAAAACCTGATTTTAGATGTATTGTACTGATCACAGGTTGGGGTTACAGAATACATCAACCTTGTAGTAGAAAATTAGTTCTTTTCTCTACTTCTAAAGGGAAGAATAGTCCGGCCATTTCTACACGAATTCGCATTGACTACAAAAGAGCAAATTCAGGATTATCAGACTGTTCTTAAGGCCTGCACACACAAATAATGCTAATTATTTTAAACAAACCTCCAGAGATATTTTTAATCCATCATAATTAAAAAATTTTAAGGTCTGGAAAATGTCAGTGGCTTCAGACTAGTGACAGTACAGCAAGCACTGCCTGCTAAGAATTCATTATGAAAGTAGAGAATGGCAGTGAACTCTGCTGTGTGTCACACGCCGGACAAATCAGTTTATTTGTTAGCATAAAAGGAGGATACCATAGTAATATCAGGTTAACAATCGAAATACTATTACCACATTCCAAGCCGAGCATCTCTGCCTGTGACTTAGGGCAGGAAAGTGTTTTAATGTGAAAGTGAGTGCATGAGGGACAGCTTTAGCCATCAGTGTCAACAGAGTGTCAGCTGAAATCTTGCAGAGCCTCTCCTGATAAGTGAACCATCATTACACTACCATGCACAACTACATGCAAAACTACAACTTCAAGGAACATTGTATACACTTGTGCACATTTTACAGTCGCTCTAATTCTTCTAATCTAAACCTGTGCTTGCATGTTTATATAAAGTTAATTTTAAAGACCCCCTGCCCCCCCATATAATGGCAATGCAGAATGAATCGAGTTCCTTTTAGACCAA